CCCTCCACCATCCTCCCTCTCTCTTCTCTCCTCTCTCTCCCTCCTTCCCTCCACCATCCATCTCTCTCCCTTCTTCCTTCCACCACCCTCCCTCTCTCCCTCCCCTCCTACCCTCCACACCCTCCCTCTCCCCTCCTCCCTCCCCTCCTCCCCCTCCTCCCTCCTCCTCTCCCTCCTACCCTCCACCACCCCTCCCTCTCCCCTGCTACCCTCCCACCACCCATCCCTCTCCACCTACCTCCACCACCCCTCCCTCTCCCACCTCCCTCCATCACCCCTCCTCTCTCCCTCCTACCCTCCCCCACCCCTCCCCTCCACCACCCCATCACCCTCCCTCTCTCCCTCCTTCTTCCACCCCTCCCTCTCTCCCCCCTCCCTCTCCACCCTCCCTCCCTCTCCTACCCTCCACCACCCCTCCTCTCTCCCTCCTACCCTCCACCACCCCTCCCTCTCCCCCTCCACCACCTATCTCTCCCCTCCATCCCTCCCTCTCCCCTCCTACCTCCACCACCCCTCCCTCTCCCCTCTACCCTCCACCACCTCCCTCTCTCCCACCTACCCTCCACCACCCTCCCTCTCTCTCTCCACCCCTCCCTCTCCCTCCACCCTCCACCACCCCCCCTCCTCCACCCCTCCATTTTCCACTTTTCTTTCAAGTTAATGTAAGTACTCCTTCCCTCCCACTCAAGAGAGGTAAAGAGATCTCCGCCTTTTATATATGTGATGAAGAGGAGGTGGAGGAGAGGAGAGGAAAATGGAATAAGAAATATGGTCAGGAAAAGGATTGTCTTTTTTTTTTTTGTATGTGTGTGCGGATGGGCGTTTGTGTATTCTATGTGTTTTGTTTGTGTTTTTTTTGTGTGCATTCGTGTGTTTGTTTGTGTTTTTGTGTGCATTTTTGTGTTTGTTTTTTGTTTGTGTTTTGTTTGTGTTTTGTGTGTGCATTCGTGTTTGTTTGTGTTTTTGTTTGTTTTTTTGTTTGTTTTTGTGTTTGTTTTGTGTTTGTGTGTTTGTGTTTGTGTGTGCATTCATGTGTTTGTTTGTGCTTTTGTGTGCATTTGTGTGTTTGTTTGTGCTTTGTGTGCATTTGTGTGCATTTATGAGTTCGTTTGTGTTTTTGTGTGCATTTGTTTGTGCTATTGTGTGTATTTGTGTTTGTTTATGTGAGTGTTTTGATCTTGTCGGTGTATTTGCTTGATTTTGTGCCTGTGAGCAAATGTGCTCGTGTGGTAGTGTGTGTGTTTTGTGTTTGTCTGTATGGATGTGTATGCTTGAGTGGATGTACATCTGTTCTCGTGTGTATGTATACGATAGACCCATTTATACGTGGATGTGTGTGCTTGTCTAGGTTTGGATGTGTGTGTGATACAGTGTGTGCATTTGCATGTCTGCGTGTGTAGGTGTTTTATGTGCGTGTGCTTTTACGCGTGCATTTGCTTTTCTTCGTGTGTATGTGTTTTATATGCGTGTGCTTTTACGCGTGCATTTGCTTTTCTTCGTGTGTACGTGTTTTATGTGCGTGTGGGTGTCTTTCCTGCCTCCATGCGTCTTAAAAGTCCTTCCACACAGCTCTCTCTACGCACTCTAAGCATACAGTATCAGGTATTTTATGACATCTCACCTCTCCTCTTCCCATTTTCACTTCTTCCTTTTCTCTCCTTCCCTTATTTCTTCTTTTAGTTTTCTGCCATGCTTCTCCGCCTCTTTCTCCCTCGCCCCTGGTCATTCCTCATCCTTTCCACCTGTTTTCTTTCTCCTTTTTCTTTTGTTTTTCTCCTCCTTCTCTCGCTTCTTCCCCACCTTTCTTGGGCATCCTCCTCCCCTCGTTCTCCTTTCTCTCTCCTCTTTCTTCTTCTTCTTCCTCTCTCTCTCTCCCTTCTCCTTCTCTCTCTCTCTCTCTCTCTCTCTCTCTCTCTCTCTCTCTCTCTCTCTCTCTCTCTCTCTCTCTCTCTCTCTCTCTCTCTCTCTCTCTCTCTCTCTCTCTCTCTCTTCTCTCTCTCTCTCTCCTCTCCTTCTCTCTTCTCTCTCTCTCTCTCTCTCTCTCTGTCCTCTCTCTCTCTGCTCTCTCCTCTCTCTCTCTCTCACTCTCTGTCTCTCTGCTCTCCTCTCTCTCTCTCGTCTCTCTCTTCTCTCTCTTCTCTTCCTCTCGTCTCTTTCTCTCTCTTCTCTCTCTCTCTCTCTCCTCTCTCTCTCTCCTCATCCTCTCCCCCCTCTCATCTCCCTCTTCCCCTCACCTATCCTTCCCTCCTACCCCCTTACTGTATTACTTACCTTCCCCCCCTCCTCTCCCCCCTACCTTCCCCCTTTCTCCCCCTTCCTGTTTCCTTCCATCCCCCCCCCTCCCCACTCCCACCCCATGTATGCGGTGCTGGACTAATGTACATTTTTTTTTTTTACCAAGACACAAAAGGAGTTTTTTTTTTTTTTTTTTTTTTTTTTTTTTTTTTTTTTTTTTTTATTTTTTTTTTTTTATTTTTTTTTCTTTACCAAGGACAAAGCA